ACAAAAGAGAGGGGAGGGGGTCCAGGCTCACTCTTATAATAAATGTATCTCAGGAGCCAACCAACTCCTTTGAGAATTACACTGATTCCTTCCAAAAAAAAAAGTGGTACCCCCATGAGCTGATCATTTCATAAGAGTTCAACTACCTTGGTATCATTAAACCAAGGATGGAACTCCCCCCCCATTGCTGTTATCCACTGATTTTGAAATCAATATAAATCTTATAATATGCTAGATGCTTTGGTGTTGGTATGAGCATTTGGGGGACACAATCAAATCATATCAATACCAAAGCACCTAGCATAATATCAGATTTTTATTGATTTCAATACTCAGTGGATATCAGCAACAGAAGTTGGGGCTATATATCAATTTTAAGTGGAGTCAATCCAATATTATATGGAATAAAAATTAAAAAAATAAGAGGTTCATTCTTTTTTGATAGGTCCTCTAAATTGGGAAGAAATTCTTTTATTCTACTAAATTACTGTGTATCAGCTACTTTCTATGTAGTAGTACCTCTATAATTTATGCTTGTTAACTCAAGCATAAACAGAAACACTGCTTTTCAGACACCAAGACTCAAAGACCAACTAAAATCACACAGTTAATAAATGGAGAGGTGGGAATGAAAATCATAAGTGTCCTAAAACCATATTTCCATTCTGCCATGTAAGTTTCCCTACAAATATAGAAAACGGGTGAATCTAATATATGCAAATAGAAAGGGCTAGCAAGGCCTGAGGATCAGTAATTTCAGAGTCAGGATAAAGTCTGATACAGATATTTCATTGTCTGACTGATATTTCATTATCTTCTACTAGCAGTGATTCGTAAAAGTGTGGACCCTGGAACAGCAGAATCAGCATCACTGGGGAAATTGTTAGAAATGCTAAATATTGGTCAGGTTGAGAACCAATCTGACATTTAACAAGTAAGTCTTCCAAGTAATTCTTGTGTAAGCTAAGGTTTGAAAACCACAGATCTAGAGTAATATAGTTAATTTTATTTCACCAGAAAGTAATCTGTTTCCTCTTAGATTAATAAGATCCTTCTCAGGAACTGTTTCTAAGACATTTAAATTTTCCCATTAGTTGGTACTTAAATAACTACAGTTGGGTGAATAGATATTTAACTAGTAAGACCTAATAACTCAAACTGCTCAAACTTGGAGAATATTTTTTTATTTTTGTTCAAGAAAGAATTCAGTGTAATATTTACTGAAAACAGTCAAACAGGCATGAAGATTTGTTGTACTAAAATTCTAGCACGATAGTTTTATGATAGTATAAACCTAAGGAATTAAGGATATTCCACTGAAATCAGACTTCCTTATCTATAAAAGTTGATATAAGAATTGCAAGGTTATAAGAATTAAGTCTGTTAGGGGCATGGTGCTGATTTTTGTCATGATTTTGCTAAATTTCTCTTGTTATGGTTACTGTCCCAATTTTGGCTCCAGTCATGTTGACAACGGCAACTGTCCTCATCATGCCACTTTGTTCTATGCATTTTTCACTACTGCTCTCCCTCGCAGGTAATTCTTCAGCCTCCTCCTGCACCACCTTTACTAATTCAATCTTTCTTAGGTATCACCATTGCTCCACAAGCCTGACCTTGATTATTCTGTATTCCTATTAAAATATACTTTGTCCAGTGTTCCTTCTCTCAGTAAATGGTTTGTGCTTATGGTACAAACCAATTAAAATCTTGTAGTCATTCCTATGACATCCTCCACCCAAGCCACCATCTTCTCTCACCTGGACTACTATGGTAGTATCCTAGTTGGAGGACCCTTATCCTCTACTTTTTTTTTAATTGTGGTATTGGAGATTGAACCCAGTTGTTCTATAACTGAGCTACATCCCTAGACCTTTTTTTTTTTTTTTATAATTCACTAAGTTGTCCAGGTATAACTTGAATTTATGGTCTTCCTGTCTCAGCTTCCTGAATAGCTGGAATAGTATGGGCCTCTGGGCTTGGCTCTTCCACTCTTGACTTCCTTCATTCTATTCTTCTCACCACCAGAGTGTGATTCTGTTTGAAATAAGTCAGATTACTCCATGCCTCAGCTTAAAATCCTCAAGTGACTTTACAACTCACTCATTTATTTAACAAATATTCATTGCATACCTACTATGTGTCGGTCTTTGGAACAAAACAAACATCCTTGCTTCACAGAACTCATCTTCTACTGGTGTCAACAAACAATACAGTATAAGTATCATCCAATACAATAGCCACTAGCCACATGTGGCTATTATGATTTAACTGAAATTCAAATAAGACTTTAAGTTCTGTTCTTCAGTTGTACTAGCCACATTATAAGATCTCAACAGCTATCAGTAGCTGATGACTACTATTATTTGGCAGTACATACACAGAACATTTCATTTATCTCAGATAACACTTTGACAGGTTATTTTATATCAGAGGTCCTCAACTGGGGGTGATTTTAACATATGGCAACAATAGATGTATTTTTTATTATCTCAACTAAAAGGAGGTGGTTACTAACACCTTGTTGATAGAAGGTAGGGATGCTCAAAAGCATCCTGCAATGCACTAGTCAATTCCTATGACAAAAAAATTATCCTTCCCAAGATATGTCAATAGTGCTACATTCAGGAAAAATAAAGTCTAATTCAAACTATTTCTCCTAATATATTCACAATACAGATTACTTTCAACAGTAGATCCTTCCCCAGACCCCTGTAACAACCAATCAATTAATTTTGCAGTGGCAAAATTAATTGATTGGTTGTAGAGGACATCAGCTGGGTGTCCTCTATTCAATGCTAATACCTTATACCTAGAGATAGAATCAGGTCCCACAGGTTGAAGCTCAGTTCCAAGATTATTTGCTCCCTGATCCACTTTAGAAACCAGTCTGAAGCCCCAGTTTTATCTTTGCTTCAGACTGATTAGCTATAAATCATGTTCTCATAACCTCTTCCTGTGTTTGATTAATTTGCTCTAGTAGTTTGCAGAAGTCAGGGAAACACTTAAATTTACTAGTTGATTACAAAGGATATTACAAAGGATATACAAAGGATACAGATGAACTGTAAAGGTCTAACTTTGGGAGAAGAGGCTCAGAGCTTCCATGTCCTCTCCAGATATGCCAACCTCCAGGAAGTTTCATTTGTTCAGCTAGTCACAAGCTCTATGGAATGTGTACTCTTCATGGAAACTTGTTTTTTGGAGACTTCACTGCACAAACATGACTGAAGCTTAAACAACCACATCAAAATGTAACTCAACAAAAGAGGTGTGATCTAATGCTAACAGATGGAGTGGGGTTGGTTTGTCTGCTAAGCATTCTTCTTGGCCACTCTGTGCAGCACTCCTTCCTCCAGGGTATGGGACAAGACCCCTTTTGAATGAGGAAGGTCTTACCACCAACTTTCAGACAAGGGTAGGTCAAAGAATTTCTTTATCACCAGTTCTAAGACAGAGAGGCAGAAGATTAGAGGTTTTATGATCCATGTTGGGGAAGAAAAATTCTAGTTTCTATGGCCTGCTCTGGGGAGGGATTTACAAACCATTGATAAAAATCAAAATAAATATAAAATCACTGTCTTCCTTAAGGATTGAGCTACTCCAGGCTCGTATACCTCCTTCCTTTGTGCCAAGAACATCCCTTCATCTACAAAATCTGTACAATTTCTTTTTCCTAGATCATTCCTAGGAATGTTCTCACTTCCTTCTGACATTTCTTTCAATGTCACTTTGAGAAGCCTTTCCTTACAACTTCTTGATTTATTTTTCTTCATAACATCTACCAGCAGAGTATACAGTTTCTTACATGTCTATATTCTGTTTCCTTCCACTGGAATGCAAGCCCCAAAGGCCTTGTGTTTATCCTCAGTACAAAGAACAATACCTGGCAAATTGACATTTGGCTGCATAATAAATATTATTTTTAAATGAAGTAATGAATGAATAAAAAGACAATCAGGCATGACTTCCATGAGGTCCCACACCAGTAGAAATAAGCGCTTAATTTTATCTCTCTTTTCCCCCTTATTTACTGGGAATTGAATCCAGGGACTCTCTAAGGTGCTCAGGCTGGCCTCAAAATTGTGATTCTCCTGCCTCAGCTCCTGGGTTGCTGGGATTACAGACCTGTGACAGGATGCCTGGCTACAGCTCTTTGCTAGAAAAACTCCTGAAAGCTCTGAGAGAGAGAGAGAGAGAGAGAGAGAGAGAGAGAGAGAGAGAGAGAGAGAGATATTGATTTTTCACAATCTTAAGTAAGTAGTAAAATAGAAATTCATCAATGCTTAATAAAAAACCGAATTGGTGTATAATGGGTAAATGGTACACCAAATAACATCCATTGGTAATTTAACCGTGCCTTGTTTTAAAGATCATACGGTGTATTTTATGACATTTAGCTATTGTTTAAAAGTGCTAACATTTGCTCACCTGGATCCTCACATATTGGCATTTAGAAGCTGCACATTTCATCTACTAAATGAGAAGTCGCTAAACGTTAACCCAACTAAAGTATAGATAAAACCCAGAAGGCAGAAGCAAGGAATGTGTTTAAGTGTGATTCCTAATCTAGAAGAGCATGGCTGTTTTTCTCTCGGTATATGTGGGTTGTCATACTATTACTACTAACAGCTAATATACATATACTAAGCTTCTATTAGGAGCCAGACACTGTATCTCTACTAGATTCATTTAGAGACAGGAAACTGGGGGGTCAAAAAGTTTAAGGAGCTAGCTCACAATCAATTAAGTAAACGGCGAAGTAAAACCTGGCCACCAGCCTTCCAGAACTCCTAACCTTACATTGCCTAGGATGGAGCCGGCGACTAGTGGAATGAAGGCAGTATTAGATCCCAGCCAGCTGGAAAGGGGAGTCAGCTGGGAAGTGGTCAGACGTGGGATTCGACAGGTGACTGTCATTTTTTTTTCAACTTTTCAAAGTATAATGTTAACGATTATTTTAATTTATGTAACTTAAGAATATTAAACTATCGGCTCACCCAGCTCTGAAGTGGCCACAGAAGACATTCAAGAGCTCCCGGGGGCCGGGCCCGTGGGCGGGGAGGAGCCGCCTCCATTGGACCGCCCCACGGCATCACGGGAGCGCGCCCTGCGCCTGGCAGCCTCCGGCTTTCCACGCACCTGCACCTGCGTAGCCCTCCTAGGCGCTCTTTCAGAGGAGGGACTCCTGACGCGTTCAGGGATTCTTTTTGCACCCAGCTCTCTTATGGAAGGTCGATGTTCTCCGTGGAAACGCTGAGCTTCTCTTAAACGGGATAGGTGGAACTTTGCTCCCAGACAGCCCGGAACCACAAGTCGGGAGCACAGCGTTTCCTAATTGACCTCTTTAGCGATCACTTCCGCCCAGGGGCCTGGAATACCTGAGACCCTTCGGCGGCGAACGACGGGCAAGGCACTTCCGGTTTCTGTTGCTAAGGCGCGGGCCCGGTGGGCGGTAGAGACAACAGTATTGGCGTCGTCCTCTCCCCCCTTCCCGGGGGTCGAGATGTCGGGTCTTAGCCGTTTAGAGATGGAGGGCTGTCGTCACCTGCTCGGCTTACTGGACAACGACGAGATCATGGCCCTATGCGACACCGTCACCAACCGCCTAGTGTACCCTGAGGACCGCCAAGGTAAGGACAGACCCTTCTCCCCGAGGGCGGCCCAGACCTCACCCAGACTCCAAGCTTGTGGGAGCGTGGGAGTGGAAGGGATTGGAAGCCTAGCCCGCCTGGTATTGGTCCTCTAGTCATGCTTGGGCGGAATTCTGCGGATCCGGGTCACGGCCGCTGCTCAGCGGCTCTGGAACTACACACAGACCCCGGCCGCCTGGTCCTGGAGGTACGTGGTGGCGCCGGCAATGGTACAGCTTGCAGGTTTTCATCCTTGATGTTGTGAGCAAATGCTGGTTGGTTCGAGGATTCGGAGCATGGCAGTAATCATTTTTCACGTTTCCGGGGAGCCAGACTGTTTTCTATTCTCAGTTTCAATTTCCTGAGGAGGCAGCTGCCATTTCTCAGGCTTTTTTCTTCAAGCTTTCCAGGAGTGGGGCCGGTATTACAGACGCTTTGGATTCTTCTTTTACGTAAAACAAGTCACTGTAATGAAAAGGAAAATGGTTTGAATGCCTGTCTCTCAGGAGCCAAAATTTTCCCGAGAATATTTTGTGTACTAAGAATTACTTTCAGAGCCCGGTAGTACACATTTTGGTAGATATTTCTAGGTTTAACGTTAAAGGAATACACCTAAGAATTTAGACTGAAAATAGTTTTAGACTAACATACTTCTTCATCGTTTATATTTGCCTGTTAATCGCCTTCTTAACAATCATGGTGAGTTTTAACTTCAAAATTGTAATAGATTAAAATTGCTAGATATAATTGGTAGTAAAGCAAATAAGTAAAAAAAATAAAAACGTCCCTGTTCAAAATTGTTTGCATGATTTGAAGACATTCCAGGAAAGAAAAACATTCAACCTCTGTAAAAAAAGTAATAAAAGTCGAAAACACAGTGTGTCTTTTCTGTGTACCAGGTTGACAAAACATTAGCAATACAAATCACAAGTGTTGGTGCCAGGTGCAGCAACTCTTTGACAAGTAATGGAGGAATGTAAATTAGAATATGACTTTGGAAAAGGAGTTTGACATTATCTCTTAAAATGAAAGATGAGAGACATCCTCTAAACCTCGGCTTCTCAAATCTTTAAATTTACCATTCCTCAAGGATTTTATTAAAATGTAGGTTTTTGATTCAGTAGTTTTGGGGTACGCTCTAAATTCTGCATTTCTAGCAAGCTCCCAGAGATTACTTAACCCCTCTCTGTAGTGGGAGATATGTATGAGAATGTTCAAAGTTGCAGTGTTTGTATAGGACAGGCACAGTAAAGTCTCTAAACAAGAATAGAAACCTTGTAGTATAATCATAATTAGCTATAATCAAGCAGTGAAAATGAATTAAGTAGAGCTACATGTGTCCACAGATTAATTTTAAAAAGCATTAAGTGAAAAGATGATTATAGAAAACTACATCTATTAATGGATTGAATTTATAACATTTAAAAATATTGTAAATATATTGTTTAGGAATACATATTCTATACAATTATATAGAAAACAGCAGGAAATGAAAATATCTAAGATAGTAGCTACTTTGAGATGGATGAGAAGAGAGAGTAGTAGCATCAGGGAGGGGTGAGGTAGGGCCTTAAAAATACTTGTAATTTCCTGTCTCAAGAGCTTTATAAGGTATGTATTTGGGAGTATAGTATATTGCCTTTCTGTATACCTAACACATCACAAATATTCTTTGGTTTGTTTTATATGCAGTTTTTTTTTTAATTAAAAAAGAAGTCCTGGATCTGCCATATCTTAGAAATATGGTTTTTGATACCTCCTGTTTTCAGTTTTGTTTGTGGAATAAGGAAATTGAACTAAAATTATTTGACACCTAAAATACTGTAATTTTACTGATTTTTAGAGGTTGATATAAATTTATATCTCTTGAAAAAAATTTCTGGCTCAATTTTTTCTTAAAAGATGAATTTTTTAAATAATCTGAATATTTTACTGTTACTCATGGGAAACAATAGTAAGCAATGATATTTTTTGAGGGGTAAGGGAAGTTTAAAGCATAAATGAATTTAAAAAAACAAAAATGACAATCCACTTCCTATTTTTTAAAAATAATAGCTATCTCATGCAAAAGCAAATAACATGACAAGAGCTTAAATGTTTTTTGATAGAATTTCTGCTGACATTAGTCACATTTACAAGTACCTCGTGATTTTCTGTTAATCGTTGCAATTTTCTTCTAGATGCTATTCGTGCAATATTAGTGTATAGTCAAAGTGTAGAAGAGCTTCTTAAACGTAAAAAAGTCCACCGAGAAGTCATATTTAAGTACTTGGCAACACAGGGGGTGGTAATACCTCCAACTACTGAAAAACACAATCTAATTCAGCATACAAAAGATTACTGGGAAAAGCAATTGCAACTGAAACTGAAGGAAACACAGGAGCCAGTTACAAAGACAGAGGACCTCGGACTCTTTCAGCAGGTAAATCAGATATTGTGGTTACATTCTGAACCTTTTTTTTTCCGTTTAAAACTATGTAGATAATCCCATGTATAATAGTCTATTGACTTATTAGAGGAAAAAAAATGTTTCCTTCATTTATTATCAATGAAGACTAATAGACTTTCAGAGTACAAACTGTAAGTTTTATTTAATTTGAATTTGGACTCTAGTTCTCTAATATTTTTTTTTTTTAAAAAAAACCATTATAAATCCTTTTTTCTTTTCTTTTTTTTTTTTTTTTTTTTTTTGCTACTGGGAATTGAAACCAGGTTTTCTTTACCACTGAGCTACATTTCCAGCCCTTTTTATTTTTTATTTTGAAGCAGAGTCTCCCCGAGTTTCTTAGGGCTTCACTAAGTTACTAAGCTGGCTTTGAATTTGTGATCCTCCTGCCTCAGCCTCCCATATTGCTGAGATTACAGGTATATATCACTGGGCTTGGCAAATTCTTTTTCATTTTTAAGAGTTTCTTTGATATCAATGCAAAATAAAAGAAATTTAAAGTTTTTGACTAGAAAAAATCCTGTGGTGATTTTCTTCAGCTGACATTGGCTATTCCTATTTCTTGTGTATCCACTGAGCATTTTATAGAGAGTATTTAAATACTTATTCAGTGAATTGTAGGTGATTCCTTTGCCTTCACATTAGGAATCTTCTAAAGATTTTTTTTACTTAACATACTAACAAGAGAATGGATTTTGAAATCATGCACATGTAACTTAATATTAAGGTCTGGCATGTAATAGGTCATGAGCTTAGGCAAATAACTTGATCTTTCTGAGCCTTGTTTTCTTCATCTATAAAATGGTTATAATAAGGCTGGATGGGGTTAGTTCTGGGTGTGTTTATAGTGTAAAATTAGCAAGTATGAAGACCTGTGTTAAATTCCCAGCATGCACACACAAAAAAAATTATAGTAATATCTGTGTTAAGGCATATTGTGAAGATGGGAGGAAATAATACTTAAGTGCCAGGCTTTATATCTAGCATATTAGATAGCAGACATTCAATAAGCATAGGCTTTTTTACCATCTCAATGAGGTACTTTGATGTGTGGAATACATAGGAGAACGAGATCGAGACTAGCAGGTATGTCAAGTATAATTTTGGAGTAATATTTCCTTTGTAAAAAAAATAATAAAATTAGCTCCAGTCATAGGAAAAAAATGACTTATTTCAATCAGCTTAGAGTATCTGTTTAAAAACATAAAAATGCTTATTATCACCTTAATTGAATGTGATTTATATATGACAAAGTGCATCTATTTGAAGCATACAGCTTGAAGGCTTTGACAAATCTACACCTGTAAAAGCACTGCCAAAACTGAAAAAAAAAAAATGCTTGTATAAGTCATTATTATTGACTGTTCATGCTGATGTTGAAGGGCCCTGTTAGTTTATGACATTTTTCAAGGGATTTGTCCATTTCATCCAAAACGTCAAATTCATGGGCATTGAACATGGTGTTCCCTTATCATTCATACGTGTGTATACTTATTCCACCATCATTAATATACTATGTATACAACCAGAGATATGAAAAAAAAATTGTGCTCTATATGTGTAATAAGAATTGTAATGCATTCCGCTGTCATATCTTTTTTTTTTTTTTAATATATCTTTCCATGGGAGGGGGAAAAAAAAAAACAAAACAGGCTACAGGATGTTGCCCAGACTGGGCTCAAACAACTCTTGGGCTCAAGAGATCCTCTTACCTCAAGCTCCCCAGTGGCTGGAACCACAGGGGCATGCCAGTGAGGCCAGCTAGCCTTCATTAAACTTTACTGAGTTTTCAGCTGGTTAAGCTGGAAATTTCTGAAAATTTTTTCTCCTTTTTGGAAAATTACTTTTTATGCATAATGAGTTCAGTCAGTTCACATGTAGTTCATTTCCCTTTCTTGTAATCAATACATTAACTAAATAGAAAAGTTGTTATAAGAGGTAAATCTTATTTTTATTTTTTTTCAATCAGCAGGCAAAAGAAGGAAAAAATGCTGAAAAAGTTGATTTTCGTCGCCTAGGAGAAGAATTCTGCCGTTGGTTCTTTGAACTTCTTAATTCTCAGAATCCTTTTCTGGGCTCACCTCAAGGTGAATGGGGACCACAACACTTCTGGCATGATGTCAAACTTAGGTTTTATTACAATACTTCAGAACAAAATGTGATAGACTACTATGGAGCAGAAATTGTAAGCCTTCGTTTATTGTCACTAGTAAAAGAAGAATTTCTTTTTCTCAGCCCCAACCTAGATTCCCGTGGACTAAAATGTGCTTCTTCCGCACATGGGTTAGTTATGGTTGGTGTTGCGGGCACTGTTCATCGAGGGAACACTTGTATGGGCATTTTTGAACAAATTTTTGGACTTATCCGCTGCCCTTTTGTGGAAAATACTTGGAAAATCAAATTTATCAATCTGAGAATTGTTGGAGAAAGTTCCCTTGCTCCTGGAACAACACTGAAACCAGCTGTTAAATTTGAACAGAGTGACCTAGAGGCCTTTTATAATGTAATCACTTCGTGTGGTGACAACGAACTAAAACTTACTGTAAGGCAAACAGTGGATAGTGGGACTGGAGACCAAGCTTTATGTAGTGGAAATGAGGCATTGTTAGAAAAAAAGAGAATTGAGTTTACCTAACCCTCTAGAGCATTGAGCACTGTTATATCAGCTTAAAAAGTCTTCCATGTGGAAACTTTTCAAATACTGCATCAGTAATTTCTAAGTTATTTCAGATGTAAGGATTGACATATTTTAGTTCAAATGCTTTCTGGACTACAGACTGACACATTATGTGAATACTTGGCCTATTTCTACCTGAGTTTCATCAAATGTTCTGGAGAGCTTACTGCAGTTTATCAAATAAATCCCACTTTAGATGTTGTATATAACTGTGTGCCTTAGAAACCAGGTAATATCTTAATTTTCACTTAGTAGTTATTGGTATCTATATTTTCCATACAGCAAAGGATTAGTAGTGTTCTAGGCTATCCTCTTTAAGTTTTTCATTTACTTTGATCAAGGTCTGGATATTGAATATTTTCCAAATGCATCTCAGTACAGTATTGTTTTTAAAAATCTTAGATATTTTAGAGATGGTTAATGTCAACTCAGTATTGTCATTTTAGAAAACTCAAATAACATTCAAAAGACCAAAAATTTAGCAGAGGGAGAAAAATATAAGTATAGAACCATTTCTCAAAGTTGGCTGCTCTGATCCAAGCTAAAAGTCTCTTTTAATATGCACTGTTTTCTGAACTTTTTTGGGGAATGATAAATGCTATCCTCAAAACAGACTTTATTCTTACCAAGGCTTCAGCCAACAGTTTTATAGAGTATTTATTGTAGCACCATATAAAAGAAAGTAACTGTTGAAATTTTTAAGGTGTGCCTAGATCCAACTTAAAAAAATGAATTACTGTTTCCTCCTGATTGATATTGATAGAGGTGACCCCCGCTGCCCCCCAAAAAAAACAAACTTAGAACATGGGCATGCATATATGCAAATGCATAATATATCCTCAGTATAATTTAAACTTAGTTTTCACCTCTAATTTGTGTTATAAGATTTGACTTATAAGTTTGAGTTGCCAGATTTAAAGCAACTATGTAGTTGCTTTAAAGTTTAAGTTTCTCATCACCCAACAACTATTTGCTGATACTGGATTTAGTTAGGAATTGTGATTCATAAAAGTACATTTAGGAAAAAATTTAATGGGATAATATAATGATGTTTTATATGTGTTAAGTTTTGACATTTAACTCTGCTCATGATTATCTAGGGGAGACAGATGAATATTGGAAGCAGGAGGAAAACACTTTTTTTTAATGATATGCTTCTTATGAGGAATACAAATTGATATGTCATAAAAATAAGAGTAAAGGAGGGAAATCCCTTTTGTCTGTGTAAGAATAGTGTATTGTTTAGATTTACTTTACATTTGTCTTGCTCTTAGATAAAATTTTAGACATTGAGCTGAAATAAAACAAATTTGCTGCTAGTTACACTACTGGTATAAAAAAAATTAGTAATAACGAAAACAGTCATCTGAAAAGTAATTATCTCATACTTTTATAAGCTAGACAATCAGGTCATAAGTCCATCTTTACCTGTCCTATAACTGCTTGGGTTTAGAGTTTTATTTCCTAGGTTTAAAGTACCATTATAAAATATAAATATTCTAAATAAATGATAAAATTCAAAACACTTCATCTCTTTTGCTATTGATGTCAGGTAGTGCAGAAATATTACTATAGATGCTCAGGTGGGCAGGGATTTCCTTTAGCTGTCTTCAGGATCGCATATTTGAATTTGTAGAAAGCCCAAGGAAAGCTGCAGTTTCTTCACATTTTTAATCAGCCTTAAAAATTGAAATCTAGACTTAAGTGGATTGGGACGTTTTTTTTTTTTTTTTTTTCCAGGAGGTGAATCCCCACATCTGAGAACATAGTAGGGCCTCTTGTTGAATCGAATAGTTAAATGTGTGAGCCAAAAAAAGCTTACATACTCGGGGAAAAAAATAATTTATGTTTTGTTCTTGTCAGTGTTGTTTTTTTTTTGGTCATATAATCTGTTTGAATTTTATATGTGGATACACAGAAACTTCTGGGCCCCTAACTAATAGATTTGAGAGGAGAACTACTGACCTTGAAAGCTCAGGGTGATTGGGATATGTTTAAGAGCACTAATGCTACAGAAGATACAAGGGAATTGAAGAAGCAGTACTGGGAAGAAAATGTTGGGAGGAATTAAAATCTGTTCATGAAATATGGAGCTTGATTTAGTCCTCAATAATGGCTAAAAGTGTCCTTTGAAATCTTTTACTGCCACCACATTAGTCTGTTTATGTTTGGGGATGGCAGAGGTACTAGTTTTAAGTCTGTGTTGGTTTGTTATATCCAAATAGCATTTGGAAAGTCTGCAGTCAGATAGTATAGAATGCAACACTACACATAATGCCTGATAATTGGGTAGTCAAAGTTGGGGATTATTTGAACTTTTATTTTCTTCAGGCTGGTTTGCCATAGCCTAATAATAGGGCATATATGGCTAAATACCTTTTTTTGTTAGAATTAAAAATAGTTTACTAGATAATTGCTGAGAGCCATAGCCAAGTAGGAATGAGGCATGGCATTTTTGGATGAAAGGTGACTCCAGCAAGCCATTGAGATGATAATGATTATGTTAAGATGTGCATTCAATTGGAGATTAGACCCCTGTGGTCCACCTCAGCCTGCTACTTTGGAGCTCTGGGAAAGTCCCAGAGAGTTCCCATTGGTTGGGGAAGTGCAGTAGGACAGAATTCCGGAGGAGGGATTTCCTGTTGGTGTAGTGTCCTGGGAGAAGGCCACATGCTTGGCATTTTCGAGGGAGTTTTGGAAATAAAGTTTGTTCCTGCTTGAGTGGCTCATGATTTTGTGCCCAGCCAGACTGCGGCATTGATAATGTTTTAAAATCTTTTAAAACTAAATTGTAAGCAGTGGTTATATTAGGATGTCATACAAGCACCTAAAATGCCAAATACATATTTCATATGTCTTGCTAAAATACCAAGCTATAGGAAAAAGCCATCTACTTGCAACTGGCAAACACTGGCAGGTCAGGAAAATACTCCAGTGTTATCAAATGGTGACATTTTTTTTCTGAATGAAAGCTAATTACCTAGTCCCATTGAGAAGTTATAAAAGCACCAGAAAAGAATGTAAAGAACTGGTATAAAGAAAAAAAAATTAATTTTTTTTTTCAGAAACCATTTTTCACAAAATTTTTTTTTAGTTTAATAGGTGATAAGATTGAACAGGGGGCCTGGGGATGTGGCTCAAGCGGTAGCACGCTCAGGCCCTGGGTTTGATCCTCAGCAACACATACAAAGATGTCGTGTCCACTGAAAACTGAAAAAAAAATAAATATTAAAAAAAATTCTCTCTCAAAAAAAAAAAATTGAACAGGATCTCTGTTTTCACATATTTAGATGACTTTCTTCACTGTTCTTTGGTGCTGAAGATTGAATTGAGGACCTTGTACTTGCTTAATACACACTCTACCGCTCAACTATGCCCTTGGTTCTTAAGTTGGTTTTAGGGGGTAGTAATAAGTCCTATGAAAAATAAAATGAAAGATATATTGTTTCTTCCCAGAAGAAATATGTTAGCACATAATATTAAATTTTTTGAATATTTCAGTAATTTTATGGGCTTTTCTAAAGCACATTGAGTATAGACATTATTCTCCATGTTAAAAAAATTCTCGCTGTTATATTTCTTCAGATTACTGCTTTAACATGTTCAGAAGTAAAAATTTTTGGCATTGTCTTAAGTCCTAGCTTATGGACTTAAGACAATATATTCAAGATGAAAGGATAATCTTTAGGAAATCTGTTAATGTACAGTAGTCTCACATGGTTTTTGCTTTTCCAAAGATGTTAGCTATGAAGATAAAACCTGTCAAAATGCTGTTGAGTGGAACATAAAAATATTCAGATTTATTTTATTTTGACAAGATAATTTAGTGTCAAATATTGAACATGCCTTGGAAAAAGTGATAAAGTGTGAAAAATGTAATACTTTCAAGATCTTTATCAAAACTATCCTAAGATGATGTTTGTATGTGGTGCTGAGGATCAATGCATATTGGTAATTCTCATGAAGGATTTCTAAAATATGAACATTGCTGATGCATAGTTTACATATATGATCTTACTATATATCTCTCACCTTCCTCATTTAACTACAATGATACAGACAGTGTAGTTGCAATGCTAGGAAATAAGACTTTCTGAATCTGGGGTCTTTCAAGTTTATTTGATATATATTCATTAAATATCTATTTCTAAGTCACTAAATCAATGTAAGACAAAATAATACTTAAATAGGCCATTTGCTCAAATTTATGTTGAATTCAAATCTCAACCTCTGAGTTTGGGTGGTTTTTAGTTTGGGTGAGAGGTTCATTAGTCCCTTTGTAGGCTTCAGATAGTTTCTTTTATTTGATCAGAAAGAAGAAAACTGAAAATACAAATAGCTCTATGGCTACAAATAGCCATGTAGACCTTCCCTCTGCTTCCCAATTCTGGGGATTGAATCCAGGAGCCCTCTACCACTGAGATACATCCCCAGCCCTTTTCATTTTGAGACAGGTCTAAATATTTATCACCCAAACTGGCTTCAAATATGCCAACCTCCTGCCCCAGTCTTCCTAGTAACTGAGATTACAGTGTGCCACCCTGCCTGCCCTAATACATGTAGATTGTCAATACAGAATACAGTGTATTTTGACAAATCACTTAAGAGTTGGAAGGAAAAAGTTTTCATACTGTAGCAGAATGTGCTAAATGCATTGAGCTTTATTTTTTTCTGGCATGAGCCTTCCCAACATTCTTTCAGAAAAATGTTAAATTATATGTGATATTTACTCTAGAACCATTTGTGTTAGTCATGAAATTGTTGGACTAAAATTTTCTGTTCTTAGTACTGCTAAATCTCCTCATTACTATTTTTAATGAGTCATTCAGTGAAATGTTGGTTAGTAATTTTCATCTGCACTGTATAGATACTCTAAATCTCAAGTATGAAATTAGTTACATTTGAATTATTATACTTAAGAAGTGAAAGAAAGATCACCCACTGCCAACTGTGTTACTTTTCTTATTCAGTGTTTTCGAAAAGATAACTACTGAGGAAATCCTTATCATTGAAGCATTTAGCCTATAAATTTACATTAATCTTTTCCATCTCTCATCATTTACTGTGCAAATATTGGTATTATGCTTAGTTGTTCTCAGATAGTTACATATAGGTTACTTTTGTCTTCATAAGTTGTAGATATTAAGAACTGGTGATTGTTATTTTCAAGCTTCTCTTCCTAAGTGTCTTGCATAGGATGAGTAATAGCTAAATTTGAAGTGTTTTTTTTTTTATATGCCAGTTATATGTCAGTTACTTGTCTATGTATATTGAGTGTCTTAACTCATTCAATCCTGCAGACAGCTGTAGGCGGCGGATACTATTATCCATCTTTTATTGGAAAACAAGACTGAGTGACTTCTAAACTGTCATAGATAATGTTACAGCCTAGATTTATACCCAGACTTCAAATTATATATAAGGTTTTGATGGACCCTTTTTACTCATTATCTTCAGTATGAAGATAGTCCTTTGCTGGTTTGTTGTCTTCTTTCCAAAACAACAATGCCTTTGACCTATATTGTTTATCTAAATACTGTTTCTTCAATAAGTCAGGCATGTTTTCTCTGTAGGAGTTCTGAGTATAATGTCTACCTAGAATATTGTTTCCCAAACTTTTTACATGATTGCTTCATTTTCATCTTTAAGGACTTTTTGTTTAAATGTTTTTTCTTAAGTAAATCCTCAGTTACTGTTTATCAGAGCATCTTGTTTAGTTTATTGTTAACACTTTAGATATTATTTGCCAGTTTACAAAATTATCTTTTCTGTTAGATTTTAAAACGAGATCAGGAACTGTAATGGTTATATTTTCATTACTTGCACGGAAAGTAGGTATTCAAAAGATATTAAAAGACAGATTAAGGAAATAAGTGGCTGGAAATGTAGTTCAGTGAGTGATAGAGTCCTTGTTTACCTTGCATGAAGTCCTGAGTTTAATCCCCAAGACTGAAAAAAACATTGCTGCTTTCTATTCATAGCCCTGTATATTTCTAGACTTTTCCCTGTCAAAGACAGTGCCTAGCATATGTATGTATTAGGTACTCAGTGAATATTTCTTTAATGAATAAAGACAGAATTATCTTCCTGAATGATGACATGTGAGCTGTAACGTGACCAACACTGTAATAGAATTATCAAGGTCTTAATATGCTGTTGTAAAAGATGAAAAAACTGATGTTAAGCAGCATATTGTGAGAATCGTACATCTTGGCTTTTTTTTTTAATTCATCATATTTTTAAACTGCAAAGCTAATGTTCTTTCTTGTACTTTGTTTCCATTCTGATTTAAACTCATCCTCGATTTCATCATATGTAAAAATGATCCATGTAAGTTAAATGACTTCTGAGGTCTGGTATGATTTTAAAGTGACATGGTTTGTGATTGTATACCACCTCGGAAATTGAATGTTACTTTAAAGGAATATGTAGGCTATTGTTGAAGAAATTAATTATTATCTGGCTTCCTCATCAGTAATGCTCATTAAAAACCTTTGTGTTCCTTAAATATACATGAATACATTTTATGTATATATGTGGGTAATATGTATATTTTGACCATAGGAAGGAAAAAACAAAATGAAATAAAAGATATTCTATATCATATATAGAAAATGAAAAGGTATGACATTTAAATATTTAAAAATTTTCTCATCACTAGAAATTTCAAAGCTGTTTGAAACTAGTTTTGTTAAAACTTTTATGCCTTATTGCATGTGTTGGCAATATTTCCATGTTTTAGTCAAGAAAAGTGCAAAATGATTTGACAGAAAGCCAAATTAAAGTCTGCCAGTACAGATGGTCCCCAACTTATGATGGTTTGACTTAAGCTTTCAACTTGATTGTGTGAAAGCAATACACATTCAATTGATACTGTACTTCAAATTTTGAATTTTGATCTTTTCCCAGGCTTACACAGAATAACTCACTCTGTTTTTCACTTTCCACACAGCATTCAATATTTAACACTTTATTATAAAATAGGCTGGTGTTAGATGATTTTGCCCTATTGGGGGCTATTGTAAGTGTTCTAATCATCTGAGGATGATTCAGAGTAGGCTAGGTCAAGCTGTTTTCAGTCGATTAGGTGTATTAAATGCATTTCTGACTTCAGATATTTTCAATTTATACTGGGTCTATCCAGATGTAACTCCATTGCTATAACTTGAGGAAAATGAAGATATTAAGAAAATGACCCAATATAGTTAATTCCTTTTAAGAGACTAACATAGAAGTTGGCGAATATTTAAGATTGACATTGGCAGATTTTTCCTACTTTTTCTGTAGGAAGCATGGCCCTTGGATGGTGCTGCTCATAAAATCATTTAAAGTTATTTCAAGAAGTTTAATAAAACATTTGCTTATTAAAACAGAAGGTTTTGCAACACTTAGTGCACTAAATAGAATAGTCAGATTTATGATAGAACCCAGAGTACAGAAACAAGAATAAACAACAGAATATAAACATACCAAGGATTTTAATGCTGGAACTGTCAGTAGAGTAAATATTAAATCACTGGACATCATTAAATTCCTAGGAATTAG